GAAAATCATTTTCTTGGAAAACTCATGGGACTTAAGAAAACAATTGGTTGTGACTTCTTGAGGCTTGACAGAAAAACAAACAACGTTGACTGCATTTCCAAAGGGCAAAGTCACTCCTCATTTTCCCCTAGTCCCATTCATAATTTTTGACTCTAGGCTAATGGACCCAGTTTCTCCAGGCAGCCAATATTCCTCTCCTCTTCCCTCACCATATTGCATAGATATTCTGGTAGTTTCTACATTTAGCTAGAGGACTTTTGGGAGTTTCTGTGCCTCAAAATATTAGAAATCAATGCAATTTAATTAAGTTCTTTATACATTTATTCAATACTCAGTGTGTCCTGGGTTTTCTAGGTACTGGAGATTCAAAAGTGACTAAGAAATCATTCTTTTTGTGAAAGTGCTCACAGATTGGTGGAACAGAAGGGAATATGCAAACATTATTCTTAGGCAAGAGACTGGAAATGGAGTGGGGAAAAAAAGCACCATGGGATACAAGAGAGAGAGAAATCTCTTATGAGGCTTGCTGAAGTGGGATGGGAGCTAAACTGAGTGAAGAGACGTTGTGGATTCCCCTCCTGCATCTGTGTGCCCAACTCTATGCTCAGTGGGTGACCTATATGTGATTAGGTGGGAACAATCACACCCTGGCTCTAGGGTGGGTTCTGTACCATCCAGAATATCAGTAGCACTCCTATTGAGAAACGTTTGTCTAAATCTTCCAGAAAAATACCATTTTGTATTGGTTCAGAAAATCCAAGGCTAAGTCAATTAGCTCACAGCATTATTCTGGTTATTAGTGTGGTTCGATCAGAAGAGAGCTCTGGACTTTTGTTCAATGGTTTTGAGCTAACATCATTTCTGTCTCTCATTGGGCATGAAGAAAACAAAATATGCAGCCTCAGTTTGTGGTAGCATACTTCTTATGAGCAGGAGAGGAAATACTTTAGAATAAAGCCATCAGAAGGGCAGAAGAGGGGAAAGATGAAAACAAAGTGAGCCCCTGATGACATCATTAACACATTTGACCAACTGTCCTGAAGACTGTTCTGTCTCTACACGTTCCAATTATGAGAAGTAACATATGCCTTTATTTCAAAGGACAGTTTAGATGGACTTTTTCCTGAATAGTACAGAGAGCCATGAAATGAATATGTTTTTTTTTCACTTTTTTCTTTCTTTTTCTTTCTTTCTCTTTCTTTCTTTCTTCCTTTCTTTCTTTCTTTCTTTCTTTCTTTCTTTCTTTCTTTCTTTCTTTCTTTCTTTTATTTCATTTTCTTTTATACATTCAATCACATTATTTAGCTTACAAAGTGAATATTTCAATATGGGAACATTTCTCCCTAGTCCAGTTGATTAAACTGTAGAATAGCTTCAACAGATAATATCACATTTCTCTGTCCCATTAATGAATAGGATTTTAATGAGTAGAGGAATGAAAGACAGGGCAATCTGAGCAGTAGAAACAGCTTCAGGAAAGGTATTAAGAATTTTTAAAATGTAGCAAATGTGTTAGTATGTGTATATAGAAACATAAGGTGTTTATAAGATATCTGTAATGGGTCATTCTATTCTTATGCCCTGTTACTAACTGAAGAAGAGTGAGAGAAAGAAAAAGGGAATTGGGAAGAGAGATATTATCTTTCTAGTGGCAACTTCGGATCATTAATTGTATGGAATTACTGAAATTGACATGTACAAAGAGAACATGGCCAATGATTGTTGTTTCCATGTATTTTTTCTGATATATTTATCATCCAAAGAATATAAAAATAAAATTCTGATAAATTTATCCATTTCATGGAAGAGATTTTAGAAGCGCAGTGCTAAGCCAGCAGATGGTGTAATGGTTACATTACTGAAGTCCCACATGGTCAACTGCGGTTTGAATCCCAGGCCTGGCAGTTTGAAACTCATGTCAGGAATGTGTGTGTGCATGCCCCAAATCCTGAGCAGAGGAGAAGGGATTGCACTGTGGTAAACCTAGGCGTGGGGGTGGGATGATTTCTGGCTTTTTGTCTCTCTCTCCATCTCTCCATGGAGTGTATGAGCCCTATAGCAAAAATCTCTCTCAAAAATAAATAAGTAGGGACCAGTAGTTGGCGTAATAGCTATGTCGCTGGACTCCCGTGTAGTCAATCACGGTTCAAGTCCCAGACCTGGTGACTTAAATTCACACCAGGCACGTGTGTGTGCATGCCCAAGATCCCAAGAGGAGAATGAAGGAGAAGGGATTGTGGCATGGCCATCCCCCCTGGGGGGTGATTTCTCACTTTCTGTCTCTGTGTCTCTCTCTTTCTGGTGAGCGCACGCGCCCTATAGCAAAAACCTCTCCAAAAATTAATAAATAAATAAATAGAAACAAAAAGTGCAGTATCAAAAGAGAGAATGCATTACTTCTGGGTCCTCACAGTCCATCTGGCTTTTGACTTATATCTTCCAACATTAGTCAAAAAGCTGCATAATTCTAAGGACTAAATTATTTTTGTATATGGTATGCTAAATTGTTAGTGTAACTATGACATATCTAAAAGGTTTCCTTTTTTAATTTTAAAGCTATATTGTGGGCCATCACGTGGTGTGGAGGTTAAGGTACTGGATCCCACATGGCTGGCTGTACAGTTTGAGCCCTGAAGTAGTGGCTTAAGAATCACTCCAGGTGTGTGTATGTGCATGCACAGAATCCTGAAAGGTTACTGGAGGAGAAGGGATTGCGGCATGGCTAGACCCTCTGGGCTATGATTTCTCACTTGTTTGCTCTCTCTCTCTTTCTCTGGTAAGCCTATGCACCCTACAGGAAAAAAAAGGGGGGGGGAACTTTATTTATAAAGAAGTCATTTGGAGACACTATAACTATTGCTGTTAAATAAAAAAAATATATGTGCTTGGGGCCAGCAGGTGGCATGGTGATTAAGGGCACTGGACTCCCAAATGGCTGACCACAGTTCAAGTCCTGAACCTGGCAGCTTGCTTTCCCCATTTCCTTCTCTCTCT